AACCAAATAGATTAAAAATGTACCTGATTATAAAATAATAATAATCTGTTTGATAAATTAAATCTGTGATTTGAGATATAAATTAGATGGAGGAAATGCAGTATTTTATAACTAAGGCTTTTTTTAAAGGACTAGCATTTATTTTTGAAGAAGTTGCAGTTCTGTTATCCTACTGAGGCGTATCTGTCTATTTTTAACATAATACATGTTTGTGCCATTGCTGGAATTGTTGTAGTTTTTAATTTGATTTTTGTTCTGTGAATTAATTTTTAATAATCTCTCTTAAGAAGGAGAAATATAACAGTATTCTTGTTATAAAGGCACAAGTCAGATACAGGAAGAAGAGTTTGGTATTTTCACAGTGTGGTACAGTCAGTGCAGAAATGGTATTGGGAAGGCCCTAGTTATTCTTCAAAGCTCAGCAGCTGGTCTATTCCAGGATATTTTAAATAAATCTGAATTATGCTGAATATGCAAAATGCTTGAAAATTTTCATCTCACCTTATAGGGCATGCGGAGGCAGCCCCTGCTAGAGAATGAGAGAGCTCCCTAACAGAGTCTTGTCCTGCCACAGCTTCTTTCCTGTAATGATTGCTTTCCCCATACCTTTTCATTTTAAGTGTTTCATGTAAGTGTTGTATCGTTCTAACTGTGTTTACTCAGAGATAATTCAAGCACATTTTTCTTTCCAACATTTGTCATCTTAGTTCTGAATTTAACCCATTCCTTTACTGCTATCCAGATTAAACTCATAGTTTTTTATTATTATTTTCACAGTTAACTTTCAGTCTTGTTTCTTTACATCTCTGCCTTCACATCTCTGACAAAATTTCTGCCACTTTTATTTTCTTTAGATGTTCTTCTGCCTCCGAAAAGCCTTCTGTCTTTATTTCAGTATTTTAACATTCATGCACTTCAGTTTCCTGATTAACCTCTTACTTCTCTGGCTACTTGCTCCTGTACATAAGACTGTCCTGTACTGCAGATGAAATGCAGAGTCCAGCTTTATTGTTTGTGTTGCTGTTTAGCAGCATATCTGGAATTAAGAAAAGCATCCTAAGATTCTAAGAGGCACCCTTTATATACACAGCTTGGTTGTGATCACCAAGGACATGTATTTATTTACTTATTTTTTGTTATTTATATTTATTAGCTATACACAAGAGAGATTGTAAATGATCATTTTCTAGTAGTGCAAAATGTGGTGCTTTTACATTCTATTGGTTGGTACATTTAGTTCTGTATTAGCAGATTTCTTTAGGTCCTAACGTCTCTGGTAAGTAGGTTTTCTGGATGTAGCTAAAAAGCAGACAGTAAATGATTAATTAATTTGAAATACAATGATGTATGTTACATGTTATATGAGAGCACTTAGTTAAAGAGATATACTATACCAATTGTCTTTAACAGGGAAGTGATTTGAGGTTGGGAGTGGGTTGCCCAGAGCTCTGCCATGTTAGACTCAAGTCCCATCACAGTTTGGTAGCTCTGTCCTAGCAGTGACTCACATGGAGGAAAATGCAATGAGCCCCCAACTACCCCAACACCAGCAGCAAGTGTTAGTCACGTCGTCTCTGCCGTTCGCTCCGCAGACTGCTGGGGCTGGGGTGGGGGTTGCTGCAGGTAGGACGGGTGTGTGTTGACAGCACGTTGTGGAGAAGCTCGCATAGCATGTGCCTGTAGGATGCTTGGCTCTTGCCAGTGCAGTTGTTAGCACTGCCAGCAGCATGTTCTGAGCAGCGTCATGAGCACAAACTTTACCAGTGCAGAGGAAAAGAAGAGAGCTTATCTGATCTGTGCTAGAATAAGCATGTTTTTTAGGGACTTAGGGACAGCTGCACTAACTCTTCTTATCTTCAACTAGGTTATGTGGGTATGCAATTTATGTCGAAAGCAACAGGAAATCCTAACCAAATCTGGAGCATGGTTTTTTGGAAGTGGACCACAGCCGTCTCCCAGCCAGGACGGAGCACTGAGTGATACTGCAACTGGGGGAGGCTCTGACGCACCTAGAGAAAAGAAAGCAAGGCTTCAGGAACGATCAAGATCACAGACTCCCTTGAGTACAGCAACTGCCTCATCACAGGAGATCACTGCTTCCAGTGTGCAGTCCGATAGGAGGAAAGGAGCAGAAGCACCACAGCCAGCTATGGGCCTGGACCAAAAGCAAGCTTCATCGAGGTCTAGAAGCGAACCCCCACGAGAGAGGTAATACTTCCTGTCTTTGGACAGAGTTATGGAATTACAACTGCTAGATCAGTAGTATTGCCAAGGCCCTCTGTATAAATAGAACCATGTAAGAACAGCTTTATCTACTGACTAGGAATTGGTTACTGTTGGCTAGGAAATGCATTGCCTGATGTATGTATTTCATGCTCTATAACAGAAGTGGAAAGAAAAAGAGAAATAGTTGTATTTTAAGAGTATGTGCATATATCTCAGTGCATTTTGGGATATACTTTCAGTCCATAATGACAGGTTACTTTTTATTAAAATTTTAAATGTGACAGGTGTTTTTAACACAACATTTAACTTAATGAAATAATGTACTAAATAATAATTTATAAAACCCTGTTGAGTTCTGTGAAATTCTCAACATTTGATGCCTCATGTATCATTTTATCAATGATTATATTGCTATTAAGCAAACTAGCATGTTAAAACTCAATGAATGAATAAATGAGGTGTATTCACTGTAATGAATTGGATGAAGCAGAACAAGTCAGCAGAGGATAATGATGTGATGAATCAATTGCTGTTCCTTTGGCTTCTGACTGGCAAATGACAGAGCAATTGAGAGAAGGGAAGCACTTGCAACATTGAAAATTGAAATTACCGTAAAAGAGTCTCCTTTGATCACAATGTTGATGATTTTTTTTTTATAACTATTGAAGCTGAAAATAGATGAAGAGAATTGTCTAGTAACTTGCTGTGAGGTCTGTGAAGAGAAGTCTATTCTGGTTTAACATGAGCAAAATTCTGATTTGTGTTATATAAATGTATGAGATAAAACAACAAAGGATGCCCCTGCGATTCCAGTTTTCCTCCATGCTAGGAAGGCCCTCCAATATGTCATCACCAGCTGAACAGCATTTTAAGGACACCAAAATTGTATCTAATTCTGCTTTTCTATTCAAAAATTAGGTGGTTATATTTATTATGCAATAGCACCATTTTCTCTGTGTTACTGAGACTTTCAAATAAAGTTCAAAGGTTCTGCATGGTAACCTCAAATCTCATGTATTGCAAATAACTCAGAAGGTAAAGAGAATAAAAAAAAGGAGATAGATTTATATCTGAGGTGGATCATGCCTACTATTTTCTGTCTATTGTATAATCTAGGTATATGTCTATACATATGTGAAAAAAGATATATGTAATCTGAATATGTACCAGTTAAGGTAGAAAAGATTCAGTACTGGTTCAATTTCATCTAAAATAAAATGTATAGCTGAGATCAGTCTTCTTCAAAACAGATGGATTCAAATGTGAACTGGTGTACAAAAGGGCAATTGGGAGGATTAGAGGGAAAGAAAGCAGTCCTACAAGGGGATTTTATTTATTTATTTGTTTATTTATTACTTGCTTACTCTTCCTAAGCAGAAGACGAATGATGAGAGATCGTAATTTTCAGACATCTTCATTATTCATTATTTTGTACTTTGGTTGTATAGAGAAATAAATTACATTTTTTATCCTCTTTCATTACCAGAGAAAGAATGGTATTAGTTTAGCTAAAAGAGTCAGTTTGGCTTTCTTTATAAGCCAAATGTGTACTTCTTTTCAGAGTTTTAATAAGGTAACTGAAACTAGATCAAATATTATTGCCTCTGAGTATATTCTATCTTTTGTAATTTTGATAGACTTGTAAGTTCTATTTATTATGTCATTCTTAGAGATCCTCCATTTGGTGATATTTATGTTTAAAGTGTCAGGGTACTTGAAATGAATCGTGTATATGAGGTTAGACCAAAAGCCCAGCCTCTCCACGCTCTTGCCAGAAAAATGAAATAAACATATCCCAGTGTTCTGCCATAGGGCTGCAGTTACCACAAAGATGCATTTGATTCTCCATCCCTTAAATGGGTAAAGAGTTTTTTTATCTGCATTTGCAGTTGTTAATATACTCAGTGATTTTATCACTTGGACATTCTGTAATTTTTATGGAGTTCACACTAGCTGTTGTTTGTACTGGAAAACAGCCATACCGTTGAAAAGATTTAATTGATTCAGTTCATGTTAATCAATTCAGTAACTTTATGTTTTGTTTTATGTTTTTTGTATTTTAAAACAGACAGTTTATACAAGTATTTTTATTTTGCAATAAATTCTTCAAATTATTGTACTCATTTTCGTGGTAGGAAGAAGACATTATTGGTTTCAGAACAGAATGGCAAAGGCTTAAAGAGTGAGCGCAAACGTGTGCCAAAATCCTCACTGCAAAAAGAAGGACCAGCCGATGACAGGGAACGTAAAGAACGGCATGAAAGTAGAAGACTGGAGAAAGGGAAGTCACAAGAGTTGCCAGCAAAAACTGAGGAAGGCAAAGTACCTGATGATGAAAAACAAAGGGAGGAAGATGAATATCATACTCGATACAGGAGTGACCCCAATCTGGCGAGATATCCCGTGAAACCGCATCCTGAGGAACAGCAGATGCGCATGCATGCTAAAGTTTCTAAAGCACGGCATGAAAGAAGACACAGTGATGTGGCTTTGGCACATACAGAAATGGAAGAAGCGGAGGTACCTGAGAATAAATTAGGAAAACACTCACAGTTACAGGGAACTCAGGACAGAAAATCTCTTGTGGAAACTCAGAGGTCGTACTCTATAGACAGAACAGGTGATGTAAGAATTTCTGTTTCTAAACAATTAACTAATCATAGTCCACCAACTCCCAGGCATAGTCCAGTTCCTGTAGAACATGTAGAATACAAGAACCACGATTCCTTTAAAAAACAGAGCCGCCTTGATCCTAGCTCTGCTATTCTCATGCGAAAAGCAAAGCGGGAGAAAATGGAGACCATGCTAAGGAATGATTCCCTTAGTTCTGACCAGTCGGAATCAGTGCGGCCATCCCCTCCAAAGCCTCATAGAGCAAAGAGAGGCGGAAAGAAAAGGCAGATGTCAGTTAGTAGCTCAGAGGAAGAAGGGGCATCAACACCAGAATATACTAGCTGTGAAGATGTGGAGATAGAAAGTGAAAGTGTCAGTGAAAAAGGTAAGGACCTTTATGTATATTATGCACACAGCCATGGTTTGGGAAAAGCTTTCATCTGTATTTTCTCTTTTGCCTCTTTTCTGATCATGCACCTTTGTTCCTTCCCATCTTTTTTTAATTGAGAAGTGACTTATAGCTGTTTACATTTCATTTCCAGTATGTTTCATTTTGCGTTCTTAAATGAGGTGATTATAGATAGCATTATTTGGTGAGTTTCTTTCTCATTCTCTTCCCTGTTTGACCTAGAACAGATAAAGTTTAAGGGTTCTAGTTTATTCTCTTGATAAATTCTGTTTTCCTTTGATCATAGCTTCATTGTTATCAGTATGCAGAATATTTTCTGTGATAAATTGAAATAGAAAGAGTTCTATAAGAATCTGAGAACACCATTATAAAGCATAATCTTATTGACACTCCAATCTGAAGCATTTTACTACTCTTAGTATCAACGATCTGGCCAAGTTCATAGTTGCCAATGATTGCACATACAGAAAGAAATGAAAATTGGCCTACCTGTCATCAGAATGGTTTTATTCCCAAGGTACCAAATATGTTGTCATTCTGTTACTTCAGTTTGTCTTCATCTGTTCATGGCAACACAGCAGTAAAGGTTCAGTAGTATACTGCATGCTTTTAAATAATGCCTTTCTTATTCCTTGTTCAAGAAATTGTTCAAACTTATGAATGGTATTCATATTCAATGGACTTTAGTAGAATACTGGCTGTCTCATAACAGTAACTTGTCTTTAAATGTCATTGCAGTGATTGAATGCTTTTTGTGTCCTTGGAAGTAGCTTTTTGCTCTTTAATTATTTATGCTTCTTATGTGAAAGTTTTCTGTGGGTTTTCACAGTCAAAATGTCAATAGATTGTCTGTGTTTTATTCCAAACGCTGACAAGTCTTTGATTCAGATGTGCATGTTGTGGTCTTCTGTCATCCCCTAAGTCTCCACATCAGCATATACAAAAAGAGACACACTCATCTCCAATCCCATCTGGTAGCGCAGTATCTGTATGACTTTTAATAGATGTTGTGTAACTTTCAAAGCACAAGTATTTCCAAAGTTTAAAACAGAACAGAAACTGCTTTTTTGCTCATTTTTAAGGAGAGATGACAATCATATCCTGCAACCTTGACCCTCTTTCCGCTTAAACATTACAAAAGGCCTTTTTTTTTTTTTTTAACTGGAAGGATAGTCGAACACTGGAACAGTTTGCCAAGGCAGCTTGTGGAGTCTCTAACCTTGGAGATAGTCAAACCTGAATGGAAAAGGCCCTGCGCAACCTTCTCTAGTTGGCCCTGCTGATCAGCAGATTGGACTGGGGACCTTCAGAGGTCTTTTCCATCCTCACTGATTCTGTCATGCTAAGAGAGCACATCTTTCCCCCTGCTTTGTGGCAGTGTTTTATGCTGAAATTAGGATTTCACTAAATTTCCCTGAATTTCCTCTGTTGGTATTTGTGGTCTCCAACACTGCGTTTACTTAAAATTTTTGTTACTTGCTTTCATCTATATGCATAAGTTTAAAGTGTTGCTTATGAAATAGAGTTTATTTCCCATATTAAGTGAGAAGTATTATTGAATGGAAGTTCATTTATGTGAAAATAAAGTCTAGGCTAAAAAATGATAGATATCAGTATATTGATATAGTCGTGTTATCAGCCCAGCTGCATTCTCTGATGGCACAGGTCCTATGTATCCTCTGCCACATCTGCCAGCCCTGCACAAATGTTGCCAATATCTTTTGGTTGGCTCAGATGAGGAATACCTTTGTGTGAGAGGTTCAGCTTTGATAAATCGACTGTGCTGACAAGATCTCCACTGATGGTAGTGGGAACATGCAAATGTATAGCTTAAGATACTTCCATAAAAGTACTTAGAAGAACATATGTATCTTGAATCACTTCCTAAAAGTTTGATTTAGTTACCTTAATAAAGGCATTTGAATAATGCCTTGTTGTTTACATCTGAGGTAGATATTTAAGCTTCCACTGTAGACAATAGAGACCAAAGTCTGTATCATATGGGCCTATATGCTACACTGTGGTAGTTGGATAAACATTGCAAGTAGGAGTTGACTGCTACCACCTCAGTAGATGGTTAACATTGTTACCGCCTTTCTTGCAACCTTATCTCTGCTCGTCAGTAATCTGGGATTGCATTATTAATCAGATATTTTCTATATATACATTCGCATATGTGTGAGCTGATGGGTATGCAACACGTTAATTCCAGAGGTATATTTTCTCATTTAATAGCTATGAGTTGTAGCTGTGTTTGTTTCTGCCTTATCTTGGTAAGATTGCTACAGTCCTTTACACGGAAGAAAGAATTGGGAGGTCTTTGAAGCTGGCATTATTGTTTATAAAAAAGACTAGGTGATGGGAATACAAATGAGAAGGCAGAAGAAGCATTTTTTTGATATTAAGACTATCAAATTACTTTCATAATTAGAATGGCAGGAAGACAAAAAGATGAGTCTATGGTATTTTTATAAGAATAAGTGGAAAGACAGGAATTTCCATTACCTAAGAAAATCTTTCAGAAAATAATAATAATTAAAAAAAAACAGAAAAGGATATGATCCTTTTTTTTTTCTTTTAATAACCCTTGTATAGCAGAGGTCACAATCCTAGTGTTTGTATTTAAACAGTATATTATAAGCAGAATTTCACCTGTCATTCCTCTAGTGCTTTGCATATAATTTGGGAGTGATACTCCATAGGTCTTTGGTTGAAGATCTTTGGTTTATAAGACCAGGAGGGTCTGGATTCCATCTATTTTCCATGCACTCTCTTATCTAAATAATGCTCAGCCAGGAATCCGGTGCCAAAGTAATGTAAATGAATGGGGCTAGAAAGATAGAATTATTGCAAGTGAAGTTTTGAACTTTAACAGCCTTAACCACTAAAACTCAATAACTTAAAATACATGTTTGTTACTCAGTTGCTCATTGCTTCATATTGGCATCCAATAAATATGTGCATTAATTTTAATGGCAATGTCTTTTTGTACTAGCTTCTATTCTATCTGATGCAGCTAAAATAGAATTGCTATACAGAAAACAGTTTGCAGAGGTATTTAAAGGAAAATGTAAGGTATGTAGGAACGTAAGGTGAAGCTGGAGAGTCTAAAACTGTACTGAAAATCAATAGTAAAAAATGACATATAAAGTAGATAGGTATCATGGTACCTACATAGTTGTCCACCTTTATTTCCAATTCTAAACCTATTAAGAAAACTAATGGAAAACATTAAAAATTACTGCATGTTTAAATAACTATGCTTGAAAATAGGTAAGCAAGTTCACCTGAAGCCAGTGAAGATAGGGAGGCATCTTCAGAGGACATTTTGTCTAAAATTGCATAAATTGGTAATCATTAAATCGAAAGCCAGATCCTTATGAGCTATTAAAAGAGCCTTTATACTCTTTGCCCACACAAATACTGATTTTGCAATTTTCTGGGTTGCGATCTTGATTGAAACAAATTGTGTTTAAGTGTACGTAGTGCTCATGAGAGATCTTTTGTCCTAAAGTTTATGATATGAATCCACTGGGTAAATGGTTAACGCCTGTGATACAGTTAGTTTATGTTCATGTAGCACTAGGCTACAAAGTTCAGGAAATGGCTACTGTTGCTTTTCTTATAACTTAAAATGACTTAAGAATGGTTCTTCAGCTACATTTTTTCCATACAGAAATAAAACTCAAATTTAATTTTGAGGCAATCACATCAAAATACAAAAACATAAATATTTTATTATATATACTATAGATATATATTATTATATATATATAAAAATATTATGTATGGAACAATACAGAAATTTTCAAAAATGAATCCAATATTTTAATAAATCTTAAATTTCTTGAGACATTCATATTCGCAGATATCCTCAAAACTGTGCAAAAGTTACATTTGAACATCTGCATTTGCTAGAAAAGCTGTCTTAGGCTTGCATTAGTGTCAGGGGATCTCTTAACAGCTGGGCTACTTGAGAATTGAGAGGAGTGACTGCCCCCATTTTTTACGAAGAACATGCAGACAGGAAATAAAACATAATTTTTGACTCACATTTCTATTTTATTTATGTCAAGTTTGAGCAGATGTTTATGCTCCATCAGTTTTTAGACGTTTAGTATGCAAGTTAAAAACATTTTACCACTGGAAAATCACAGAAGAGTGGGAGTGAAAAAGAACCATTACTTGGGAAATATGCAAATCCACATGCATATACCACCCAAAATACTTGTTTGTAGCAGATGTAAATAAAGCTAGAAAGTGAACAGTAATTCAACAAAGATGGGCAAAGTCTTATTTATTATCAGGTGTTATAGAAAAGAAATATAAAAAGATATGAAAACATTTTGCAATGTATTTGGCAGTCCACTGAGATTTTGTGTCTTTGGCAGAGGAGCCTAAAATTTCTTCCGAGGTGTTTATATGTTTCTATGCTGGAGACAGAATTGATTAGCAGGGTCTAAACTGTCATCTCAAATTTACTTAAAAAAAAGTTCTGCACCCTTTGAAGAACATTATTAGTGATTGTGAATCATCATTTTTATCCTCTTATTGCTGTAGGACCAGTTATTCTAAAATCTACAGTTGCTGAGTACTCTGGGGGCTGAGTTCCCTGTGACAACACCATCATGGGTATGCAGAAGTCCACTTAGAAGGCATTTATACTCACTTCAAAGGCTCCTGCTAGAATAACATAGACCAGAGCATTTTAAATGAAATCCAGACCATCTCATTTTAGAACTGAGAGAGCTTCTGCCTACTGCCGTCCAGTGAAGGAACAAATCCAATTTAGATTTGGACTAGATTTTGACCGTTTTCTTAAAAAAAAAAACCAGAATTTGTGTGGAACTAACAGATTTGTGTCTGGACAAAGTTGTCCTTAACTCCTTCTGCCTTATGATAGCTGGGCCTGTTCAGCCTGGAGAAGAGAAGGCTGAGAGGGGATCTAATCAGTGTATATAAATACCTCAAGGGAG